CCGACGCATCTGAATGCACGACCTACAAGTTTCGGGGGTTCCCAATTACCAAATCTTTCTGGCTGCTGCCGCCTGGCGGCGCCAGCCGGAAAAGAAAAATATTGTGCAGATCCGGTTCGTCCTTTCCCCGGTGCGCAGCGCAAATCCCCCTCTGGAGAAGGGTAGGAGGTGGTGGTGGTTGGATTAGCTCACTGGGGGGTTACGATCCCCTAAAACCCTAAAAGCCCTAAGCCCTAAGCCCTAAAAAAAAAAAGTTCCTTGAGCCCTGTTGACTGAGCAACAGGGTGCACATTCTTGTCCGTGGAATTGCCATCCAGCCTTTTTTGCTTCTTTTTTTTTTGTGTGCAGCCGCACCATTTTATATTTCTTCTTTCTCCATTTGTGCCCCAGGGTGGAAGCCTCTTGACTCTCATCTCCCACGTCTGACGAGTCATCGGTATTCATAGATACAAGAAAGGGTATGGAGTACTATGGACCCACAGAACAGATCCTGTCAGGATATGGTACGGACCCACAGAACAGATCGTGTGCAAGTACAGTCGTGTTATTACATTTCATATCACGGTTGCGATCCAGACGGTCCGGGTCTGGTGCGGGAGGAGGAAGGCGTAGACACGCTGGCACGCGGCACTTAGTTGAATTATACCCATCAAAGTAAGACGACGTACACCTTCTTGTTTCCTTGACCTCCGGGCGGCGGATATACAGCAACCACACCACTCTTTCCCGTCTTCTAAAGACCACAGAGAGCACAATCTCTCTCTCTCTCTCTCTCTCTCTCTCTCTCTCTCTCTCTCTCTCTCACACACACACACACACACACACACACACACACACACACAATCAGTTTTATGTATGTCTATTTCTCTTGTTGTTTGTTCCTCTTCTGATTTTTTCGTAAGTATTTTTGGTCTGCCGAACTGAGCACCTTCAAGTAGTGCCAAATAGTCGTCATTCCTGGTTTGGAGTGCCTGCAGCAGTCTTAGGGGGGCTGCTCAGTTCGGGATGTTTCTCCGTCTTATGGATGATGACAGTGACTCGTCGGAGTGACTCCCTGGCTCAGTGGGTGGTGGAATCGACAGTCTGCAAGGTTCACCCATGATGTGAGTAGGGGATACGCGGCTTTGCTCCGGTTTGCCTCGGCTGTTCTCCACCGCTGCCTTGCTGCCTGTTCTGCTTGCTTCACAGTCATTCTTGGCAAGCTGCTGTGTTCGCTGTCTGGTGTGGTCGTGTTGCGGTGTTGCCTTACGCTTCCCTGCTCCGCCGCCTTGCCGCCCATCCGCTGGCCGTGCCTTCCACGTCTCTTGCTTGCGTGCCTTGTAGTTTGGTTGCCTTGTTGGTGTTGCCTTGTGCTTCGCTGCATGGTTTGCCATGCTGCCCATCCGCTCACTCTGTTGTTCCTTGCAGTAGTCCTTGTCGTTGTTCACTTAGGTCGCTCGGACAGGGTTGCTGGTGCTTCACTGAGTTGTTGCCTGCTACTTTGTGTGTGGCTGGGCTGCCTTGTTGGTGTTACCTTGTGCTCCACTGCCTGGTTGCCGCGCTGAGCGGTCTGCTTGTCGAGTCGTTCCTTACAGTAGTCTTTGTTGGTGATGAGCAGTTGTGTTGTCTCTGCAGCGTTGCCTGGTGCTTCACTGGGTCGCTGCCTGCTGCTGTGTTCTGTTCGGGGACAGTCTGCCTTCAACAAGGGTCGAAGGGTGCATGACCCAAACAATCAAATACGGAGATTCCGCATATTGTCGAGGGTTCAGCTTCATTGCGTCGGTGCAACTTTGACGAAACAATCTTTTATCATCAGTTTTTATTTTTGTTTCAATCTTTGCTTTTGGGGGCTACTTGTATTTTTTCGGTATGCCTGCCCCCCCGCCCTCCCCGTGACCTTCAGCTTTTGTTCTTTGTTGCTGCCTGTCGTCCGATGCTTTGCTGCCTTATGACTTTGTGTGCCCACCCACCTTCCCCTTGCCCTCCTGCCTTTGTTCTCTGCTGCTGCTGCTCGATGTCACATGCCTTGTAGCCTCGTGCCTTTTCGTTCACCGTTTTTCGTTTGCTTTCCCTCTGTTACCTTGTACTGTTTGTCATTGTCGCCTAGTGCTGTGGGTCTGCCCACTCGCCTCTCCCGTGCCCTCCGCCGTATGTTTTTTTTGCTGCTACGCGCCCCGTTCGATGCCTTGTTGTTTCTCGACCTTTGCCTGCCAATTTTTTCTGCCTCATTGTTTTTTTGTCTTGCTGGCTTGTGGCTTGGTTCCTTTTGATTCATGACCTTTCAAACCTTTCGCTTTACGTGCATTCCTCTTATGGGCATGCCGGGCTGCGGGCTCTTTCCCATGTGTTGTTTATAAGCACACCTCTTGATGCAACATGCCGCGGCCCGGTCACGGGAGCCTTATACCACAAACAAACACACGCCTGGGGTGCAGAGCGTACAGGAAAAGTCGGGATCCATGGCATCGAGACTGTCGAGTGGAACGGACCCCGATGAAAGGGGTGGCCATCTGTTTAGAGGGGGCACCCCATGAAAAGGATGCCTCTCCAGTCATACTTTTGTTTATTTCGTGTCAAGCATACATTTCAGCTGGACACAGCGTTTGCAGCTGCATTTGGGGCAACTTTCTGTCTAGATACAGCCATAAATGACCATGCGTAAAGGGAGCACATTTGCAAGGCAAGTGTGAAAAACATAAGGCGGGCAATACATAAGTACGACAGAGAGGGAGAACAGGACAACAAACAAGGGGCTGTGACAAACTGTTTCATCGGAGTTTCACGTACCGACTCAACAATCAGCAGAAGGCTGAACCCTCAACAGTCTGCAGAATCCCCTACCTAAAAAAAAAAAAAAAAAAAAAAAAAAATCCCCTACCTAACTGATTACAGTACACCTGTCTCTTATACACATCTAGATGTGTATAAGAGACAGATCT